TTATAGGCTGCCTCAGTAGCTTAACAGATAATTTTGAATGCTGCCTCAGGTCAAGCTTCTGCCTTCGCTCGGTACTCCTGTGATCTTGTGGTTCAAGGAAGCCATTGAAGAAAACCATCTGAGCGGTTTCGAGAGGAGCGAATGGAGACTACTAGTAATGGATTCAGCGAATCCCCTTCTGGTACCCGCCACAAACAAGGCCATAAGTTTGCCACCTGTCGTGCTGCGGTGCCTTGTTCGAAATTGTGAAACTGGGTCAACCCACGTGACCGTCAGTTCGTGACTGCTTTAGATTTCTTTAGAATGAAAGGTTCTAGAGTCCCCTGGCTCTTGTTGAGTTGAGTAAAAAAATCATTCTAAAATACCCCATAGTATACGAAAGAAGTGTTAAGGAACCTATGCGACTATTCAGTAATGCTAGTATTAAGGGTGATATTTTGTTGGTGCACTGCTCTCTCTCGTTGGTTCACTACTCTCTCTCTCACTCTTTTGCTGAATCTCTACAGACTCCAATTTTTTTGTGACGTTTTTCCCCCATTTCACTTTATTAGTTGGTGAACAATCTCTCACTGGTTTCCCTGAGAAAGGTTTTTTTTCAGTTGACATTTTTTTTCAGTTTACGCCGCACAATGAACCCTCGGCGTGACGCACAACGTCGTGTCGAGAACGCATTACAGTTATGGGTTCTTGAAGCAAAAGGAGTACCCGCTAAGAGAAGGTAACGGTAGTAATATTTTAAAACTTACTATTCCAGTAAGAGAGGCATTTCGGTGCAGAACACCCTGGGAATTCGAGAATCATTTCCCTTCACTGTAAAGGTTTTGCAAATTCAGTACCAAACTAGTTTCGTGTCGTATCCCATAAATAAGGGAAAACCCTGGGGAGGAAGGTCCCTGGTTAACTGATCCGGGAAGCCTTTCTCCCCAGGGTCGCTAGATCTGGGTGGAACTCCACATGTTCTTGGCTCGGAACTGTTTGTTCGCACCGCACAGCTCCAAAGGCCGTCCCACTTTTTACAGAATCTGAAAAAAATGTGTAGCCTTCCGTAGCTTGAAGGGCTTCTTTTGCAGAATGAGGATTACCATAGTCCGCCCGAACTATTGCACCAAAATGCTTCATCACAATGGAGCAGCGCCTGTAATTTGTGGGACTAAATATCTGGGTAGTAGTTTAATTTCAGATATTATTGTGAATTATGTTTGGATAAGACATTATATGCTCGAACGTCGTCAAAACCGTTGGTGGATAACGTTTTTTGGGGCGAACACTTTGATTTCACGTTGGTTTTATTGGATTATTTATTACTAGTTTAGTACTACTTTTCGTTCAATTAATGCTCCCACTGTTTTCAGAATGTTGCAAAAGATGGACGAAGTCTGTATCAATTTGTATCGTGAAGGTGACCCAAAGAAGAAGAAAGAACGTGCAACGTTAATTGGATACATATTGATCGCCATTGAGCAGCTTAGCAGTCGGCATCCAGTGGAGCGATGGTGAATCCTTTTGTCTTGGGATCTGTACAGTAGTCATCATTGAGGCCATTTGGGGGGAGCGGGGGAGAGGAGTGTCACCGCCTCAAGGTCCTGGCGCGGCGCCAGCCTCATTCCTACCACTCATCGAAATGGAAAACGAGCTATCGCCGCGCTGAACTCATGGTGCGTTAACCCCCCTCGACTGACTTCAATGAAAATGACTGTAGGAATGCCCTCCCCTGTGGACCACTATTGTACTGGTTACTAATTTGGTAGGTGTCCACCACCATGTTTGGGACGGTTTAAAAAAAAGAAATGTCGTTTGCTGCAGCTTACAATTATGCTCTTAGTAGCCAGTGACTTGGAGGCTTAGAACTTCCGGACAGCGAAGGCCATCTATTTCTCTTTGTTTTCACGTTCAAATTGAATTGCCCACATGTGATGACAGTCATCTGTCGTTGATCGGACTTCAGTGTCACTGGAAACAGCTGTTCCGTCTTTTGTGGAAAGTCTGAGTTGACCACTTGGGAGACTGACTGGTTGTTCCCTGTGGCGGCACCGATTGGAGCCATCTGGCATCGATTCGACCAATGTTTGTGGTCAACAGTGATCAGGCCATACAACACGATGTTATCGTCAAGCTTCCTTCTCTGCTGGACAATCCCACTTGAGGGATTCATTAGTAGAGTAGGGGTAGGGTGGTTCATTGGAGTGAATCTCGGTAATCCTCGTGTTGCACATGGTATTTCTGATTTCCATCAATTGCTTGATTTAATTGCCTCAGTCCTTGCTTGAAACACGCTATTTGTGCTCTTTTTTTCTGGGTTCAGGAAAACCCCAAACCCAAGACCTGGGTGCATCCATATGGAGACTATAGTTTTTTTTCTATTCTGAGTCCATAATGTCGGAAAAAATGTTTCACGTTCTCCTTACGGATCCCCTTTCGATACGTCTTGTGAAGTTCACTTACCCTTATACCCTCTTTGATTTCCTCTAGGACCCTCATGAGCCCATAGGCCAATGAGTGATGGAACGGGGGGGGGGGACAGGGGCCAGAATTTAGTCCTGGGCGATGCCTGAGGGTGCCCACCGGTACCCAATAAAGGTTCACCAACTCTGTGAATTGCCGGCTTCACCGATGTTACGACAGTTCGTTCTGACAACAGGGGAGTGCATTCGACCGTTAGATAAGCAGCTCCTCGCACACTTTCCGCCGATGGCGTGGAGCCATTCACAGAGGAGTGGGCGTGGAAACAAAGTTACTGCCTTGGGGTGCATTCAAAAAGAATGAAGCTGTTCTTCCCCAATGAAGGTGCTAGTTTTTCTAGTCACATTCCGTTAAGAAGATGGAGCTCACGGTTGTGTTAAAGTCTGCTCTTCTCTAGCTTGCGCCTTTCAGTTCAGTTCGAAAATTGCCGTAATTATTCCCTTTTTCAAAGTTCAACTCCTTTATCGATGTCCTAGATACTCACCCACGTCTTGTTCATCACATTCGTAACGGAGCCATTTTGTCCGCAAGGGTTCCAGTTGCCTCAATATGGCCCTGTTCAAGATCTCTAGGTTCTGTACCCCTCAAGGTGCAGAGTGGTTCAAATGAATTCCAAGTACAATGACGTTGCTTACCAGTTACACCGAAATGTACTCCTTGATTGATGGAAACCTAAGTTGTGTCGTATGTCAGGATGGAATGTGCCCTGGTAAAATTGATAGGGACCAACTAGTCGGGCTGATTGAGTGCTGCCAATGTGATCGATGCGTTCCAGTCCATTGAAAATTTATCATTTTGACTCCTCCTCTTGCGTTTAAAATCTGTTTGAATTCACCTAATTACAACTACTCGCGAAACGCTCATAGTTTTCGGGTATAATACTGGTTTGATCGCTGAAATTAACGACCTAGCGGATCATTCGAGTCATAGAGAGAGCGAGAGATAAGAATTCTATGCGGAAGTTTTCTCTCTCGTTTTCAATGTCTTTAACTTTACCGCATGACGTCTTTGTAGCGCTTTATTCTTGAAGCGTCGGCACTTACTCTACCCTTTTGCCCCCCCCCCTCCAAACTCTCTTGAAGTCATAGATTCCTGAACTGTCACTCCGAAGTGTGAGAGTTTGAACGTGTGTCGGTTGGACCGATAAATGTTAGGGGAGGATGTGTCATAAGTTGAAGTTTGCCTGTCAAACTGTGTTTGGGCGCGGTTTCCTCGCCTCAGCCCACCACTGCAACCACAACTGTCGCCCCCGCTCAATGCGTTGGTGGTCTCTTACCTCTTTGTCACTTTTGCGGAACCATTCATGTCAACCTCCTCCCACTTGTGAGTCTCAGCCGCATTTCCTCACGTAACCTCTTCTTTGTGAATGGTTATAACATGGTACTACTTAGTTGATTCTCTATGGTTGTCAGCTACTCGTGAGCATACTGTAACGCTGTTTTCGTGCAATCCGTACCGTATTCTGTGTCAGCAGGCCACCATTATCGATAGGGGTTCATGAGTGTGACGGACATGTTCTCTGATGAAACAGTGGAACTGATCCGTGTGTCAACCGTACAAGATGTGGAACATTTACCATCAGCACATTCATCATCACGACCTTCACTATTCAAAGTGGTTATGTGGACGATTCGAGTAAAATCGAAATATTTGAGGGTTGCATCGATATTCGGAAATTATTGCAGGTATAAAATGGGCCGTCATTGTTTTCACCCTAATTTCAACGTTATTTGCTTGTACTTCCATGACCTCAACCTCAACCGCGTGTCGCCAAATTGACTGGTCATTTCAAGGCCACTTGGATTGTTTCAGCGAACACTGGACTGTAGGAAAAACCTAGGGATGTTTTAACCAGCCGAAATACCCCTACCCTCTATGTTCCGTCTTAATTACGGGTAACTGAACAGCCAGGCGAACGAACGTTTCCGAACTAGCTATAGTTAATTAGAAATTCAAAGGATAATGGGCGACTTTCAGAGCGCAGCGCTCTCCGCCCTCCTAAGTCCGGGGAGCCTCATCAATAGACCGGATAAAAGCGGCGTTCCATCACCATATATCCCTCTCAATCACAGGCCCCCTGTTGTCAGCTATTTCACTCTGATCTGCAGGTATACGGTAACGACAACGAGTGAAACGGGCAATCGTCTTGCATCTGCATTAAGCACAAAAAGCGCCAGTCAAGAACAACCAGCAGTCCGGATCAAGGTGCGTCCCCGATTTGTTATATCCAAAGTCATCAATAGCTATAAAATGTGTTTAGGCTCGTTGGCAAAGTATTAGCATATTACCATTACGTGCTTATGATGACTTTCTACACTACCTCTCGTGTAATTACTTATCGTTATGTAATCACCTGGAACCAGTGCTTTCAGTTAGAGCGAAGGTGTGTACTATTTCAAAGACATCGTTCGAAAACCTTTTATTATTTCCATAAAATCTCCAAAAAGAAGTAGAAACAATGCCATGTTTTGATCTTCCGCCGATAAAGTTTGCAAGCCTAGGCATTGTTAAAACATCCTTGTGTTGCTTGGCATGTCGTCCCAAAAACCTGTGACTGCTACGAAACAAAAGTAGTCGCCTTTTCAATACGAGACGTGCAAATTTGACTCAGCAAGGTAAAAAAAATCTACTGAGCAGAACTCACAAGCCAAAACTTGTTCTTTGCCTACTACGCTCCACTTTACGCACGACATGAACATCAGTCTGGGAGGTTTTTGGCCACGCTAACATGCCCAGCTACCCAATTATCCTGCACGTTGGTTGTTTCGTTCGGAAATCCAATTTTTCTGCTCGAAGTATGCATTCGCCATCGTGAACGCTTCCATGTGTTGCTTGACGTGTCGTCCTGCAAAAAGCTGCCATGAATCGTTTTTCTGACTGTTATAAAAAAGTAGCAGTATCATTGATATCTAACTCGTGAATTCGCATCAGCAAAGATAATAAGCTTACTGATCAGAAGTTATACAGAATTTATTTTCTCCCTACAACGCGCCTATTTACACGCGTCAATATCTGCCCTGCACATCGTTCCGAGAGATTTTCGGTCACACTTCCTTGCGCAGTTGCCTAAATATCGCGCACGGAAACTCAGCTCTAGGGGTTGTTTCCATTCTGGAACTTGATTTTTCTGCTCGAAATTTTTCACATGGTCCTCAGCGATCACGTACATTTATAAGCGATTTCCGGCACGACTCTTTATTATCGCTGCACTGAGTAGTGTAGAATTTGTGAATAAAGTGGTCAAGTGAGTGGTTCAGGAGGACTTGGCTACGGCGCTTGTCCGCGTACTGCACAAACAGAAACTCGCCAACGATTTCCTTTGTGAACTAGTCATGTCGGAAGTCGATTCCCTTGGTGAGTGTAGAGTACTTGGTCCAAGTAGAATACTCAGTAGGGTTAACTTGATCGTTTTAATTCAGATAACGACCATTTAATGTTTCGAGGAAACTCGTTGGCAACGAAGGCTATGGAAGCATATATGAAACTGATTGCCGACGAGTATTTACAAGTAAGAACATCAAAAAGAAAGCTGAGAAGCAGTATTAATTGGGTTTGCTTACTGAGATGGTCTACGGCATATCTTTCTAGTCCGTTCTGGGCGACTTCGTTCACAATGTCTTGTCATCGAATGAATCTTGTGAGGTTGATCCCTTGAAGCTAAACGGTGTATCCGCTTCGACGCTGGACAAGAATCGAGCTCTTCTTACTAGACTTGTAGAATTAGCCTGGGAGAAGATTATTAACAGGTACTTTACACTTACCGAAAAGTCACCTTTGCACTTCTCCCTTTGTAATGTGTCCTTTCCAGCACGTCTGCTTTTCCAATGGAGTTACGCATGGTATTCAGCGCTTTACGTGACCGATTAGAATCCCAAGGACGAAGTTCGCTGGCTGACACTCTAATTTCCTCATCAATATTCCTCCGATACCTTTGCCCAGCGATTCTCAGCCCAAGCCTGTTCAACCTGGTTCGTCGACATTTGTTTGTCGCATTTGCGTAGGTTCAAATGCTTACTGGAGTTCTATTTTAGGTAACGGAATATCCTAGTGGAGTGACAGCCAGAAATCTAACGCTCATCGCAAAGACTCTTCAAAATTTGGCAAATTTTACGAAATTTGGTGGAAAAGAGCATTATATGGAGTTTATGAATGGTTTTGTCGAACGAGAATGGCAGCGGATGAAGGATTTCCTACGACGAATATCAACAGGGTAAAGCTACCCGTCTTATTTGTCTTATTGTCCTATTTTGAAAATTGAACGATCCCTTAATAGGAAGGTGCAAATCAGAGCTGCACTTGAATTTTGGCATCAGCTTCCCTTCCAGTATAGTGACAGCAGGTCGCGTTGATCGTTGGGGAATCCCCAGCGTGGGTCGTATTCGGGCGGTAGAGAGAGGGGTCGTACTCGGCCTGAGAAAACTTTTTTTGGTGGTTGGTTTTGCCTATTTCACGGGCGCTATCCACAACGTTTGGCTACCCCCATTAGGTGGAGGGGATCGTATTTGCTCGTCGTTTTAAGGGTTTTCTGAAATTTCCCTCGGCAGGAACTTCTCTGCTAAAATAACGCCAAGACCTATTCCGCCATGAAGTGCATGGCAGAGAAATGGGTAGGAAACCGCCACTGTGCCTTCCTTGTTGGGGCGCCATTCAATCTGATACGGTGCAAAGGAGGATAAAGCGAATGAGGGGATACATTGGTGGTGGGTCTCCGCCTATCCGGTTATTGAGGAATGTGTCTTTAACCTGAAAAGGAGCGATCGCAAGTTATCCTCGATCTATAGATTACCGTTTATTGAGAATTTACCACTTGCCGTTGCTTGTTCTGCTTGGTATCGCTAGGAAATTCGCCCTTCAGCATAGATTAGGGGATTTTGCGTTCCGATTTCCGCTTTCCGTGATATTTCGCGGTCTTTCAGAAACGGGCAAATCCGACTCAGTGTGGAAGTTGCAGCTCTCAATCCCTGATTCCTTTTTTTCCAAAGACCGCTTTCCCAATCTTTGCTTCTCCAAGTTTCTCAGCACTTTTGTCTCAGTGGGAAGCCTCGGCTCCTCAGATGATGACTTGCTTGTACATTTTTATATGGATTTTCCGCATTTATTGGTTGAAATACTGGATTCAAAGTGATTTAGGCAATCGTTGCGACCACCAACTGAAGTAATTATTGATATGGGCAAAGATTTGAGCCTTCTGAACACCTACCTGGAAGAAGCATGGACACCAGAAGTGCATGAGCGAGCACGAAGTGCTGATAAACGACTAGCCGAACTTCGTGAAATCCTTTTGGGTTTACATGAACACAATCGTCGATCACATATGTCAACTTCTGGAATACTACAATCACCTGTATGTCAACAAAATAGTAGTGACTATGAGAATAGTCCAAACCAAATTCTCAGGTTAGCCGTCGCGCTTTTTTAGCGTTAGCATGTTTTTTTTTCGTTGGATTGTGGTAATAGTTAGTCCATTTCTAGGCCACGTAATGAGAACGTGCCGGCGTACCGTTCCACTCCACCAACAGGTCAGGCAACTGTGATTACTCGTAATCGACCTGCACATCATCTGTTCACCAACGACGATTATGTGCTCAGCACGGCATTTCAGGTATGTGGCGCGCAGCGTTCGCTTGTCCATCAAGTTCTTTTGACTGGTTAATCCCGCGTGGGCATGTTCCATCTTAGTCGGGTTTTTGCAGAACTCTTCTCGTCAGCTGACAAGACTGAGCGGTGAAACTGGCACTTCAAGTAGTCATGTCAGTGAAAAGACGTCGAGCAGTGGTGATGCCAGGGATACGGACAGCGAGACTGAAGTCGTGGGGGTAAGGGATTTTACCTATAAGATATACAGCTCTTTTTGAAGGCACGGTGTATGTACTTGCTGAAAAATAGTAGCAGGGATGCTATATAGTGAGAAAGTGGCGAAAAAGCGGAGTTGAACGGCCAAACCTTGCGAATAAAAAAGTTTCTGTTCTGAACGGCATTGGACGAGTTTCCCGTTGGCATCGTGCCAACAACCGCTTTGATAGATACGGCTGCACGTATGTATTCATATATCCATGTAGCAACGCTTCATATCAATTGTACTTCATAAATGAAACGATAAGAGTACCAGCGTCGATGTGACTGTCCGGCCATTTGTGGGCGGGCGGTTGCGGTGGGCGTCTGGGTCGGCATGTTGCACCTTGGTTAGGCGCTATAACGGTGCCTTGGTTGGAAAAGGCGCCACGCAGCGCCTGCTAAGGGGCACAATATTCTTTTGTGCTAGGCGTATCAACCCTGTACGCCTTGTCGATTAATCGTGCCGTTTGCCTTTGAGCTAGCTGGATTCTGGGTCTCTAACCATGGATGACCATGGGCAAATCAATAATCGACCAACATGTCCTCATTTTCAGTTACTTTCTGAACGAGCACGTACACGAAAGACACGCCGTCGTTGTGACGATTCACCACCGGGTAGCCAACCAGCCTCTAGTGGATATCATAGTAATAACCAGAGCAGGTAATGCCTTACTCTTATCATGGTTTTTTGTAATAATATCACTGTCTATCATGTCTCAGTAACTCCTCATCATCATCACCGATTGATCGAACAACGGCCCTGTCCATCTCCAATCCGGCGTTCAATGCCACTTCGTCCATGTACAACAGCACCTCAGGCTTCCCCGATATTCATCCCGGTCCGTCAGGAATGGGAGGCTATCGAAGGTTGAGTCCTCCCCCGTATCATCCTGATATGCATAATGGCGTTTCACATCAGCCGGTAAATGGTTACCTGAAAGTTCCCACTAGGTTTTCCTGGCCTGAAAAATTGCATTTTTTCCAGGTGTACGCCATTCCACCTGATTGTGATTCGCAACGCAGTAGCCTCAGCGGTAAAACTAGCCTACCTAGGTTAGTGCTCATATATTCGCACCATGGGTGGTTGTATAGTCAATTTTTCTTCAATAAATATCTTTTTTTTCAGAACGAACCCGAGAGCCACGCGAAATTCAATCATGTTAAGGCCGACAGTGATCGATGTGGTTCCGGATGATTGGGATCGGTAATCCGTTTTCATCCAAAAAAGAATGGAGGCTGTTCCAGCGCTGTCCAGCCGTTACTGATCCTGAGCAGGACAAAGGAATGAGGGATTAATTGCTCCGCGTTCATCACTCATTGTGACGGATGCTTCCGCGTTCATTTTAAGTCAGAGAGATATCTGAAAGAAGGTCACCTTTTGGGGAACAGGCAGTGTTCAAGTTCGAAATGTTCAAGTTCACATTTTGTGATCAAATATTTTGAATGATGGGTTTCGGGAGAGGGCGATTCTACCGTGAGCTAACAAGGTCGCTCACGTCGCGCGCGGCAACTCGCGCGGCAATGTCAGTATTGTAAGTATTCCCGCGAGTTGTCGTTGGAGCAGGAGATTCGCTCTTGTTCACGACATGCTCTTCAGAGTAACAGTGTGGTGGATCTCTTTGATAATTTCAACGGGCCACGAGACAACACAACTCGTACGCAATAGGCGGCGCCGCAGACAACGCCTAACACCGCGGCGACACACGATAAAATCGCCACATACTCATGAGGTCGAAATATAACAGGAGATTCCGAGTGATGCAACTTTTCGAAAAAGTTAAGTTTGTGTCGTAATTAGGAGCCCCTCGAAGTTGGGCAGTACAAATTTACAAATTGATTCATGAGACTTTTTTCCGTCCCTATCCATATCACACCTACTCCATTGCGATTGATTGCAAGCCATAGCTGTCACGTTGACTCGTCCTCTAGGAGGCGGGGAGGTCGGGAGCGTGCAATTGGTTCCCTAGCATCGCTACTCCTAGGCCACCTCATGCCCGCAACAATGGGCCATAAGAACCACTCTATCACCGGACCTCACCCTACCAACAAGCTCTCCACAGAATCAAGCAATGGCGAAACATGCCGTTAGGTCTGCAACCGAACAACCATTGAGCATAACGCTCTCTCCACCGTGTTCCGCGGTTCACTTTATTTAGCGCTAAAATCCAGAGTGAGGCCACCTGCAATGGTTTCAAGTGAAGGAAACGGGATTTTTGGGGCAAGTTAAATTTTTAAAATGTTCCACAGTATTGCTGGACTCGTTGGATTACAGCCCGATCGAAGTACATATCGAACGCATTCTTTCCGATTTATTTCATGGATATTCAGATCTCCTAATGTACGTGAGAATTGGAACGGTTCATCGTACGAACAGCAAAAACACTTGGTTAGTTAATTAATTAATTATGTGAAAACAATAAAAACCTGCTGAAATGGCTGGAGTTATCAGTAGTGGTTACAATAATTACACTACCCATTTTTCAGGAAATCATTGAGCACCAAAAACGTGAAATAGAACGATTGATTCGAGAAAATGAGATCTTGAAGCGGCACGTGGCAGCTACATGTCCTTCTCTCGATCAGAACAAGAGTGAGGTAGTTTCAAATCATAATTTCTGCTTGAAAACATATTTAAATACTTTCGTGTCTTTGATTTGGGGGAGAGTCGTTCGGCTGGTTCTGAAAGTAAGTTTTTGAACCACGGTGCATATAATCTCAAGGGAGGAAGCTTACCGCAGCTCCTCTATTTTTAGGCTCAGGGAAAGGTCATCATCTTCACTGTGGGAGTCCCAACTTTGTACGAAGACTCCTTGAAATACCCCCCCCCCCTTTAGTGCTCATGGTGTTTGAGCGGTAAACTGTTTTAGCGCCCAGTTCCCGTTTTGGAAGCGCTTTTTTAACCGAAGGTTGTCCTTTGGCTCAACCATTCTTTCAAGACAGGGGCATTTAGGGCAGAGGGCACGATTTTTGGAGGCGGGCGGTCGTTGCCACCGACATGGTGGATAGGCTACGAGAGGGCGTTCGGTCACACCCCACCATGCATTGTGCAGCCCTTCCAACAGTGACGTTAGCACAAACGGCCGCCTCAGCAATCGTTCTCACTTCCTCCAAGATTAAAATATTGGAAGCGGAGCGAGCTATGACAAAGATTTGTACGTGGTCCTTTTGCGAAACCAAGTAACGCAGACAGACAGAGGGAGCATCGAAACGTGCAAGAAACACGTAGCAAGCCAGAATACGGGCTTTTTCTCAGGGGAGGGGACTCTGGGATGAGGGGCCAATCCGTGAAAAGCTGGAATGTGCGAAGTCACAACAACCATAGAGTGCCATGCGGACGAGAGAGTGCAGAGAAAAAGAGAAGATCGACATTTGAAGGGATTGAGTTCAAGTTGCCTGTAGACCCTTTTTGAGGATTTGAGGAATAATCGACTCTTTTTAAACCAATACCAGCCTCTCCGTATACGAGTCCATGCCCACGGTATAGAAAGAGGCACTCCATCGTTATGTCTTCTTTCTTGGTGCACTCTTTGAGGGGGGGGGTAAAGAAGATAAAGGGGTTGACTGTCTACGTACATATGCCTACCCGTAAGATCAGTGGGAAGTGTGAATCTACCCATGAATTATGTATGTGTTCAAAAAACGTCGTTATCTCAGTCGTTATCACTAAAGTCAGTCGGAGCGTGTCAGCGCGTCGTGAGTTTTGGCGCCAAGCCAGTCCGTTTCCCTTTCATCTTCAGGCGCTGTTCCAGCTTTGAGCACTCGCTGAGGGGTGATAAAGGTGCTAGCACTGCTCCGACTCACATCTCGCTGACACGCCCCGACTCACTTTAATGATAATGACTGTACCAAGAAATGACGTGAACTGGTCTCTTGGCACTCCGAACTACCTTTGGTTCTGTTATGTTCGCTTTCCCAGTATATCATGACTTACTGTTACTTCTTCAGCATAATCCCAGCGACGATTCCGGTGAAAGCTTCGATTCGATTGGATCCACCGAGTTACATCGCGCTAACGCGGCACCGTTGCTTGCCGCAGCGATGGCCCCACCGATGGTTACGGTTGTCCCTCGATAGAAAAAAAAGGCAGAAAGAAGGAGTGACAAAATTAGCAATAAATTCTGTAAGAATTGCTCCTTTCCCCATGTTGTAAAACATGTGTACACGTTATCATATTGTTGTGGGTATCATTGTGATATGCATAAGTAAGTAACCAAATTGTAAAGTGTTGAGCTTATTTTTTCAATATTCAGAACAAATTAATTATATTTAATACACATAATTGTAGTAATTCGATTAGAAGGAATTGTACTTATACAAATATAACCGATGCAGTTACGTGTCATACTGTGTGTAGTATGCCAAGTATCTGTGCACGTTAACGGAAATGATGTCTGTAACGTTTAATTTAACATATCATTTCAATAGTACATTACTGTTTTTCTACTCCTTTCTCGGCGAACGTTGTGTGCGTCTCGTGCACATGTTACAAAGCTTTACACAATTTGATTTTGCAAGTTATTTTAATAATGAAGATTTGTATGTATATGTCTAGCAGCTGCAACTGAAGAAGCAGTCCATTTGAAATTGTAGCTATTATTATTGGGATGTACATGACTTTCTCAACTTTTTCTGATAAAAAAAAAGAAAACAGTCGTGTTCAAAATGACTTTCATAGAATAAATTACCTGTCGAAGGAAAGGTGACTAGTTCAACTTATTGGCAAGAGTAGGACACTGTAAGCCACCGGTGGTCTGTTTAACACATCACGGGCCGCTGTACTCCGTCATCTCAAAGTCATTTCTTGATTTTTCATCAGTAATTTATCAAAATTTCCCACTTCTTTTCAATGATATGTCTTCCGTGACAGAGAATGTATTTTGACAGCATTATGACATGGAAGAAAACCCAAGTCGATCGAATAAAACGCCGCATAGGGACGAGATCATGACGCACCATGTGTGTCACACGGTCCGGAACGTGCTGAAAAAGATGACTTCAGGTCCAAGATTCAGCTGAGTTTTCAGAATTCGAGTGAAATGAAGAGGGAAGCTTCATGGACATATGTCTGTACCATTACAACTATTAAGATATTGGTGTAGGTATTCAAAATCGAAAAGGCGTATTAGTTCGTAGATCTAGCACGAAAAAAATAGGCGCAGTTTGTCGACGGGGGGGGGGCATTTCGCTATAAGCAGCCAAATTCTCAGTTACACGTTTCAGATTAGGCTAGACCCTCTCCCGACCATTCTTACTTCAGCTTCACAAGAGTTCACAAGTTTTACCAGAGTGAGATTTGTAAACCGGAACTAGGGAAGCAATGATAATACAAAATGACAAACAGCGCCAAAAAATATTGTGCCCCTTAGCAGACGCTGCGTGATGCCTCTTCCAGTGGCGTGGTATAGCGCCTTACCAATGTGCAACATGCCCACACAGACGCCCACCGCAACCGCTCGCCCACAAATGGCCGTACTCATTTCGATTTTACCGCTTTAGTTATAAAGTGCAATTGATATGAAGCGTTGCTACATGAATATATGAATTCATACGTAGGGCCTACCTGCCAAAACGGTGGTTGGCATAGTGCCAGCGGGAATTTCTTCCAAAAATGCTCGTCCAATGCAGTGCAGCGCAAATGTTTTTTCGCAGGTTTTCAGCCGTTTAACTTCGCTTTTTCGTCATTTTCCCCATTATACAGCACCTGTACTACTGTTTTCGAGCCTAATGCCTTTGAAGAAGGAAGCAATCGCACATTTTTACTTGAAGCCATGTACAGAATATCGATTAGGTCTTGACGGAAGTTGGAAAGACGGATTTCTCATCGGTAACTGAAGCTGTGAATCTCAAGTGTAGTCGCTTTCTGGGAACGAGCCATCTTATGCTCGTAGATTTTTCCTTCTGTTCATTTCGTCAAATCGAAATGTAATCTACACAGCAAATACAGTCTGTTCGCAGCGGAAGCTGGGCGTTACAGAGCGGGCTCGCCTTAGCGCGGCCGCAGCCTGTTTCTACCAACTGTGTGACCTGGCAGACGATCACATTTGGTAGAAAACTGGCTGGTACCGCGCTTAAAGACACATAGTACGCTCACACACATTGAGGGTGTGTGTGACTATCAGCCCCCCCCGTAGCGGTTTCCCCGTTTAAACATGCGCAGGAATGGAGATACAGGACCGTGAAACACGCTAATTCCTCCATGCTCCGCCTTATACCTTTTTGCGGCGCAATTCCCGCTCTTCGTAACATCCGTCGTAAGCGCGCGTGCCGTGCGGCTCCTTGGCACTTTGCCAAGTCCTCTAATCGCGCGCTCCAATTTCCTGATGCGGATAACATTGGAGGTGCTATAAGAACAGAAGATGATGACGAGGGTCAGAACTTAAAAGCAACTGTGCTGCTTCTGCAACATCCCTCGGAGGCCGCGCATTCCCACAAAACATGAAAAAAACGGCATACTCGTTAGTTTAATACAAGCAAAACGCAATTTCCTGATGCGAATAACATTTGAGGTGTTGCTCATGCTTCAAAGTCCGAATAGAAGGAGATGAAGATGACAAAGGCTAGAAATGAAGCACAACTAATGTAAATGTAAATAAAACAAAAATGAAAAAATCAAGGAAAGGCAAATTAATTAAAATCGCGTGTAAATTTCTGCGATCCGGCGCGAATCCGGCTCCAAAGCCATAGAAATACTTTAACCCATTGCGTACCGCGTGCTGCACCATGTGCAGCACGCCGGCGAGGTTGCGAAATATGGCTCGGCCACAGGCGCCCGTTTTCGCGAAAACGCCGCGGTACGCAATGGGTTAAACTAACGAGTGTTACGCTTAGGCCGTTTTTATTGTCATGTTCTGTGGGAATGCGCGGCCTCTGAGGGATGTTGCAGAAGCAGCACAGTTGCTCTTGAGTTCTGGCCCTCGTCATCATCTTCTGTTCTTATTTTGCAGCACCTCCAATGTTATCCGCATCAGGAAATTGCGTTTTACTTGTATTTGAGCGCAATTAAAGGACTTGGCAAAGTGCCAAGGAGCCGCACGCGACACGCGCGCTTACGACGGATGTTATGAAGGACGGGAATCTGCGCCGCAAAAAGGTGTAAGGCGGAGCATGGAGGAATTAGCGTGTTTCACGGTCCTGTATCTCCATTCCTGGGCATGTTTGGGCGGGGGGACCACGACACATCGACAGCTGGGGGCTGATAGTCTCATACACCCTCAATGTGTTTGAGCGTACCATGTGTCTTTAAGTCAGCTCCTTAATATTACTCGCCATTGACAGCAAACAGATTCTACTCCTACTTCACGAATTTATAAGTCAGAAAACTTTCTGGGAGTTCAGAAGATTGAGTTTCGGACGACAGAGAGCCGAATGTTCGACAACCTTTTTCTTGTCTAACAAGTGCAGTGCAATCAAGGAAAAAACGCTGCACAAACCTTGGTCCATTGATCTGGCGCCATCAAATTACTACTTTTTAGTCTTTCGGAGACCCTGCAAGTCACGACCTCCGAAGATGACTGAAGTGCTGCGTTGAGACTTGGCAAGGGAACGACTTTCATCCAATGAATCCACTTTCTACCGAAAATGAGCAAAAGCTAAACATTCGTTGAGATAAACAACAAGGGTTAATGCATTGTAGTATGACCTGAATTTCCATATACTGAAAAATGTTCTGCTATATTTTGAAGAGCGACATCATCTAAATTTATTCCTTCAAACCTAAGAAATCTGACTTACGACATACAATGGTTCGCTTGGATCGAAGGCGAACCGACCACCTGCTTTTTAAGGGACGGTTATCTCTTAATTATCATTATTTTTTTCTCCTTATTTGCTTATAGTTCACACGTATGTTTCCATCTGACGCATCGACGCCAAAGACGACAATGTGTCAGAAGCGCGTCATCAGTTACAGTCCTCATCATTGCGGACCGGTGGGGCGTGGCAGTGCGGCTGCGTTTGGTGCGGTTTGGCAAAGTCGTTCTGCACCAGTTTTTGAAGCGACAAGTGCATTACTGTATTATATCCTTCG